AGTTTACTCCTGAGATTTTTCAGGATGATGGTTCAGTATTAGCAGTGAGATTAACTGAGGTCTTAGGTAGAATTTGGGAACTGGACGTAATCCCATCTGACTGGTCTCAATCACTGATTGTGCCAGTCTATAAAAAAGGACAAAAATCCTCTTGTGACAATCACAGAGGAATCAGTTTGACAAATATAGTGTCTAAAATATTGGCTTCAATAATACTTCGACGCCTAACGAAAGATCGTGAAGAGCAGACTAGAGAAAATCAGGCTGGTTTTCGACCTGGACGTGGTTGTATAGATCAGACATTCACACTACGTCAGGTTCTAGAACACAGACGCCCCACAATCGTAGTATTTCTCGACCTTAAAGCAGCATTCGACTCTGTCGATCGTAAGGTTCTATGACAGTGTTTGTCACTGAAAGGAGTACCAAAGAAGTACATTAACCTTATAAAGGCTCTTTACTCGAACACAACTGGTCGAGTGAGAGCTTATGGCGAACTGTCATCAGAATTGATTACCTCAAGTGGTGTTCGTCCGGGCTGTCCACTCTCTCCATTCTTGTTCAACTTTGTCGTCGACGTACTTTTAGAGATAACACTCTCCTCATCTAAATTTACAGGGGTTGAACTTCTACCGGGAGGTTCACTTGTTGACTTAGAATATGCTGATGACATAGTTCTATTTGGTGAAGACGCTGACAAAATTCAGTCTTCTGACCACTCTAAGCAACAGTGCAAGCATGTTCGGGATGCGATTCTCTCCCTCGAAATGCAAAATGTTGCTTCAGGATTGGGTTGCATCGACACCCGAACTAATGATACGGAGTGAAGTAGTTGAGTGTGTCGACCGCTTCACTTATCTTGGAAGTCTCATCAGCCCTTGTGGTTTGGTGTGTGATGAAATCTCAGCACGGATACAGAAGGCTTAACTAGCTTTTGCCAACTCGCGTCATTCATGGCGTAGGCGAGATATCCGTCTATCAGCCAAAGGACGCGTTTACTGCGCAGCAGTTCTTTCCGTCCTACTTTATGGCAGTGAAACATGGCCGGTAAGAGTAGAGGATATTCGTAGGTTACTAGTATTCGATCATAGGTGTTTTCGAGGCATTGCTCGTATATCATGGGACCATCGAGTAAGTAATGCAGTTGTTAGGAAACGGGTACTAGGTAAGGATGGCAAATCAATTGATGAAGTAGTGGAACTTCATCAGTTGAGATGGCTGGGACACGTGTTACGTATGCCCAACGACCGAATGCCTCGACGTGCTATGTTCAGTAGTATAGGTGTAGGTTGGAAGAAAGCTAGGGGCGGCCAGACCAAAACATGGCACAAGTCCATGAAGTCACTGACAAGTGGACTGAGTCATGTTGGTAGGTGTAGACTACCAGGTTGGGGACCACGAGATGATAGCAACCGATGGTTAGAGACCCTGAATGACATGGCTCAGAATCGTTTGCAATGGTGCAGGTGCATCCACTCTCTGTGTTCTCCCAAATTCTAATCTTCTGAATTCTTCAAGTCCCTTTTTTACTCTTTCCAAATTTATTTCACTGGATTATACTTTTTAAATAACATCTCCAAACCCTAATCTTCCCGATTACTGCTTATACTCTTGCTACCTCTACCACTATGGGATTTGAATCGACAACTGCATCTCTGTGCTAATGTGGTATGGCAACTCGAACCGATGTACGTACGTACGAAGTTCTACGTTGTTACTGACTGACTGAGTGAAACTTACTATGACTTAGGATACCACTCCAGCATGAAATGAACGTCCGGCGTAACTCAGTCGGACATGGCAAATGAAAATTACGACCAGAGCAAAATTGACAGCGTAATCTAGTTCTTTAATAAAAAAATACATCATAATATAACAAATTCTATTACTACCTGAACGTATACATGACCGTTATTACACTAGGCGAAACACTAGATCTACGTAGAATTGGTGGGTTTAAATCCATCCAGTATCTGAAAAGCTCAGACTCAAAGTAGGCTCTTTTATTAGTCGTTATTGCAATAGGTGTACCAAAATTTGTCACCCAGTTCTGTATCGAAGCTTTGGCCAATATTTCCGTTATCAACTCAGCAAACTCGTGCATCTTTCTACTCATGTAAATGAATGATTAACATCATCGGAACTCAGCAACAGACTTGTAAATGTATGGCACACTTTTTCATGAGTTCTGCTCTAATAATATATATAGATTTGTCATGATGTAAGTGCCTATAAACTACCAATTTTCTCATGATTTTAAGCACGAAGAGTAATCATATTGTTTTAGTCGTATCACCATAGATCAAATTATCCGCATTGAGTGATGGTGGTCGTTTCAGCTCTACAATAGAGTGCTTTGTTGGGAGTAGAGTTTATAACCACTAATTTTCCTCCTGGATGTGTCCTGAACCTCCAAAAGTTATAAACGATTGTTGTATTATATCCATATCAAATCTAGATGGTACATCCGTCACCCAATTAACCTTATTTTTGAAATTTCATATTTCACTAGTGAACTGAGATACACAGTAGATGTTTTGGATTTCTCGAGGCGAATATTAATCTGTTTAAGCTTTCGATCCATTTGTTTATGGTTTGTGGACAATAGGAACAATGAATTGTCTGCCGCTCAATATGTGTCTGAAATGTTCGATGGCTAAGTAAATGGTAGTAAGTCGCCATCAGAAAGAGTGATATCCCATCTGTGCAGCGGCAAGTCTTTCCGAGAAAAGAGTAATAATGACGAAAGGAAGCCAACTGCAGCTGTTAGTGGAGTTCCACTCCTGGGACTTCGAGTTATTTGTTACTGGTCTCCGGGGTCATGCAGGTACAGGCACCCTTCCAGTTCTGATAGTGAGTTACTTCTGGTCTACTGTGGAACGGTGAAGATTTAGTTTAATCAAATTTGGTAATTCCGCGAGTAAATCTTGTTAATTTGCAGTTGCTAACGTTGGGGTCTATTTCAAATTGAAAGGAATGATGTGACTTTATATATATTGAGTAACCGAAAATATTTTTAAGTGTCGAACCGCGTTTCTTTGTGTCGAATAGGAATGCATACCTCTAAAAATTCCTTCCAAATATTACCAATTTTAGATTCTTTACAGTACCATGATCACTTTCTTGAATATTGCAATTTTAGTTCTGTTGGAAAATTGGCGACGTTTGCTGATTCATTTCAGTTTTTTACTAAGAGATGATACTAAGCAACGTACCAGTATCCACCAGATATTTAAACCAGAATTTCTGTCGCTTAGATAAGACATGTGATCGTTTTTGCTCCCGTCATTAATCTTCGCGACCTGCATAGTGGTTTTTGATGGAATTTTGTTCTCTGAGTTGGATGGTTTGGTCGTAGAGCTTTCATCGTTCTTCTGAACAACATCATCAGCATAAACTTCGGTTAGAAGTAAAGTGTTCGAATTTCTCCACATATGGTTCACAGCTTGTTCTGTAAATCTCGATGCTGATTGGTTCTTGTTTACCTCTTTGTTTTGGTTGTATATCCTATTAGTTTGATTTTTGTTCCTATGTTTGTGCATAATTTTTCTGACTGGTTGATAAATTGGATCGATTTCAATGTGCTATTTTATTGTTGATTGACCTGAGTGTCTAGATATTAGAAATTCTCTGCTGTTTTTGGGATTTCCTCTGTCCAAAAACCCCACACTTTTCTAGTCGAATGTGTGTCCGCAGTTATCCACGTGGATTGATATAAGTGAGAGCATGTCATGGCGCTTGACTACTAATCGATGTTCGTGCAGACGCATTAGCAGCAACATTTCTGTTGCTCAGCCACGTTTTAGTTTGACATTGTGGCAGGGCTGGTCTAATATTTGTCAGTCAGTTGGATCTCCTTTCATAAGAATAACCTTTTCTAAAGTTTCGTAAGGTCCCGAAACATCACTGGTAAACATAATAAGTGTGATATACCTGTTGAAATCGCGCACTAGTGTATTCACTACTACGAGGAATTGTGTACGTGGGTCTGATCTGCCATGCTCGTGGAAGTCAGCTTCTGTGTAGCAGAACCTGTCTTCTATGTTAACGGGTCAAAGTAGCACTAGATGAAATGAGGGAGGCGAAAGTCTTGATCTTAAGCATTCTAGGAGTCTGTCCCGTCATGGTGAAAAAATGTTCTAGACTACCAAAAAATACCACAATATATAAAAAACAACAACCAAAAAATCATACGTAGTGTTTCAACCAGGAATAGACTCATAATCTAAGAAATGCTGTATCAGATCACGTTTGTCTCACCTCTAAAGATGCCACAAGTATTCGGAGTTCGGAAACTTCTTTAACAGCAAAACCTTTACATTCGAAGTACATCAACCCAGTCAAATCAGAAGTCGGAAATAAAGGCGTTTGAATATATATTTATGTTATCGGTATATCGAGGAATGCTTGTTCTAAGCTGGCTAACAGTCGAAAGGGATGTATATCACGGCGTACACGGCCATAATCTGGTGTGGATGCGTGACCGACCGCCTTCAGCTAGGTGAGTCCAGTAAAAGTAATGCAGTCAGCATCAAATTTCGAAGACTTACAGGAATATTTATTTCAGGGAATTATTAACCGCTACACGAGAAATCATTTCATGTAACATTGATTATAATAAATTAATGATGCATTAACTATAAAGTTCTGTCGGTTGAAACAATATTAGTGATTGTGAGTTCTTGCTATTTGGAAGCCAGTTGAGTTGGAGCCCTGACCTAATTTTATCGGAATAACTACTTCTAGGTCAATTCTCATGATTTAATCGAGTCGTACATATGATTTATGTCCCGATTCCAACAAATACAAACCACTACTGAAACACAATCATCTACCCTAAACTAAACCAATTATTTTGTCCCCTTGTTCCTTCGTATTTTGATCATACATGAACGAGTAGACTCATCACGTGCCCGTACAATATCAAATGATTACCCTCAAGAACGTATTTGTTCTCTTATCATTCAAATGGTTGGATATATCTTGAAACCAGAAAAGGTCTTGGGGTCGATAAACTAGTTCTTTATGTCTTGTGGTATAGGTGTTAGCGTATTGTTTTAATGTGTTGGTTATTAAATGGCGGAATCGAGTGCGATGCTTTGTGACTATGATTCTTCATTGGTTAGTACAATTTTTACCATTAAGCTTTATAATCGTTGTCCTAACAGCAGTCTTCGGATGATGGGAGTGTTGAAGAGACACGAAGGAGTTCAAAGAGCCCTTTGATATCCCAGGTAATACGCGTTCAAAATGCATAATAAAGTTGCTAAGTGAATAGTAACATTGAATATGAGTGGATATTTGATAACACTAGTTAATAGATAATACTTTCAGGACGAAAGTGATTTAGAATAGCTCTTGTTTGGTCTTTACTAGAAGTCCGGGTTTCATTGCTCAAAGATAATAGAACCATTTGGTTATTTGGTTCTCTTAACCTTCCCTGTCTTATTCTTGCAGAGCAGTGTAATATATTTTAGTAAAACAGGCTATTACCTAAGGTGTCCAAGGCATGACTCGTATTCGGCTTTGAAACGTATCGAGTGTAGCTGTCTCATAAAAGAGGCATGGTTTGTCCCGTGTTGAACACGTGACGTTTTCATTACTATGAATTTCGAAACCAATTTACCAGACTAACAGTTATTGTTGCGGCATTTTCTGTCGCGCAAGTAGTGGCGTTTAATTTGATTTAGTTCATGACTCATGGTGACAGATCGATATCGTGAGAGTTCATTCACTAACCATAGGGAATGTAAACGTTTGTGGATCTGTCATTGTCGTTCGATTGGATTCTTTTTTCACCATTCAAATCGATTGCCAACAAGTTTCGAAATCGTGTTCGATACTTGTAGTATTTGCGCGTACATTTAGCAATACATTACAACTTCTTTGCTTTTATAACTTCACTCATTGCTCACAGTGAATAACAGTCCCTATGCCGTTCGGACCTTCGATGTTCAGTTCAGATGACTCTGGTGTCTGAATTCCGTTCTGCCAAGGCCTAATGGTGTCATAAGGACCACCGAAAGTTGTAGTTAATTAATTGGTGAGTCATTGCAATGGTGATTGTTTTTTAAACAAATTTCGAAGTGTGTTTTTAGTGTTTTGTGAATTTAGGTCTGTATGATAGCTTGTTTCTTTTCTCAGGAGGAAACTAAGAATGCTGCTACAGTTAAAGATGGGGTTCAACTCACTATCGAAACAAAAAAGAACTCTATGGTTGTATCTCCATCACCTAGCTACATTATTGATGGTAAACGTCGATCGAGGAGTCGTGAACATAGTCCTTCAAGGCGACACCGCAAACGAAGTTGTGCGCCCAGGTACGTCGTTAAAATATATCGCGAATAAAGTTAGTACGCTAAGATTCCTGACTAATTTCTAGTCTACAGGTCACATAAGCTCTTTTTATAACCTAGCCTAAACAGCCCTAGGCACCCAAATACTCTTATACGGCCGAGCGTGAGGAAAGTCTGTTCTCCCTCGAAATGCTCTCATACGGCCACGTGTATATACCGGCTACCAGGAATGCCCTATTTATTACTTTCTAGCGGTGGAGGTATTCACAGAATTACTTGCGCCTTTCACTCAGTGGAGCATAGGCGTAAAGTGAAGCCTAACTCGATGTGATGGGTATAAAGAATACACCTAGATTAGTTGGAAAATCCTAATTCCGAATCAATGGTGCACACGACCTCCAGGATTTTGAAGAGACAAATGGCGTATAAACGTATTATTGTCCACTGGCTCCATGGAGCCACATCTGACATCGCTTCACTGCTTTGTGGATAAGACCTCTAGACCTGAGGCTCAGGGAGTGGTCTCTTAAGAAAGCCACCTGCTTCGGTTTCGGCACCCATGCAGTATGCTAGCCTACACAAATCATTGGATTTGTGTAGTGCATATATATATATATATATATATACATATATATATTTGGGCGCTTGTTTGTACCAGTGTTGGTATTAAGATGAATAATATTACTGAGTAGTTCGGTATGTCATAGTATGCATTACAGTCAGTTCATTAACTTTCACTTTATAATATCGTGTACTTTTCTGTACTGATTCACAACAAACTCAATAAGATTTTTTGCCTTTATCACTGATTTCAATCCGGTTGGTTGGGATCTTACATACAACATGATTTACAGAAATGAAAAACGAAGGAAAGTAGTTTATTTCAGTCAGATTTCCTTACATAGTTTTCCTTAATAGTGTATTCAACCAGCAAAAAGAATTGCTTTCATTAGTTTGGTAGCAGAAAAGCACTCATGGCAAGATGGGAACTTTTAAGATAAGACATGCGGAATACCTTTCTTTTGAGTGTGGGACAGTCACGATCACTGATTTGGAAGACATACATTTACTGTTAAAATCATCCTATTAGATCTCATTAGTTGTCCGGTAGTCATTCTTAACACTTACATTCTTGATCCGACTTCTGAATAAGTGAAATGAAATCCAAAAACAACCAAAAAGCTAACTGTCCAACGGGACCCTAAGAAATATGATTGTGGAAGTGAGTTAACTGATGTAGTTTACTCCAGTAGATCTTTTAGGATAGGAGGTCGTTGCTTTTTTCATCAGTACTTCTCGCTGATTAACCATAAGCGTAATTTCTAACCATAGTTCCGTGCAATTGAATAAATATTGATATAATGTTCGCAAAGCTTAGTCTACCAACTTGCTGTATTTACCGACAGTCCACGGGTGAACGACAGACATATTGTTGCAATTTCCATTTATTTTTAATTGTAATAAACATCACGAGTACTAGTGCTTTGCATCAGTTAATTTTCTATCTGTACACAAAATTCGCACTTCAATCGTTATTCGGTCTGTCACTGCACCCCGCAATTGTCGGTATTTTTCAAATTTATTAACTTAGTCGACATAACGAGGTGCTATTAATGTCGAGGATTGGTGAAGTCTACTGACGAAACTAAAGTCGCACGCTACATAAGGTCCTAAAACATAAACACATTCAGACGCCCCACAGTAGTAGTATTCCTCGACCTTAAGGCGGCATTTGACCCTGTCGATCGTGAGGTTCTATAGCAGTTCACCACCGAAAGGAGTACCAAAGAACTCTACTCGAACACAACTGGCCAAGTGAGAGCTTATGGCGAACTGTCATCAGAATGGATTACCTCGAGTGGTGTTCGTCAGGACTGTCCACTCTCCCTACTTTTGTTTGAATTTTTCGTTGACGTGCTTTTAGAGATAACACTTTCCTTATCTAAATTTCCAGCAGTTGAATCTCAGCACGGATACAGAAGGCTTAACTAGCTTTTGCCAACTCGCGTCATTTAAGGCGTAGGCGAGATATCCGTCCATCAACCAAAGGATGGGTTTACTGCGCAGCAGTTCGTTCGGTCCTACTTTATGACAGTGAAACGGGGCCGCTAAGAAAACAGGATATTATTAGGTTACTAGTATTCGATCGTAGGTGTTTTCGAGGCATTGCTCGTATATCCTGGGACCACCGGGTAAGTAATGCAGTTGTTAGAAAACAGGTAGTAGGTAAGGATGGCAAATCAATTGATGAAGTAGTGAAACTTGAGATGGTTGGGACACGTGTTACGTGTGCCCAACTACCGATTGCCCCGGCGTGCGATGTTTTATGGTGTAGGAGTAGGTTGGAAAAAAGCTAAGAGCGGCTAGAACAAAACATGGCACAAGTCCATGAAGTCACTGGCAAGTGGACTGAGACATGTTGGTAGGTGTAGGCTACCTGGTTGGGATCCGCGAGACGATAGCAACCGATGGTTAGAGACATTGAATGACATGGCTCAGGTGCATCCGCTTTTTGTGTTCTCCTCATTTCTAATCTTCTGAATTCTTCATGTCCTTTTTTCTCTTTCCGAATTTATTTCACTGGATTATACTCCTTGAATAACATCTTCAAACCCTAATCTTTCCGATTACTGCTTATACATTTACTACCTCTACCACTATGGGTTTCGAATCGACAATTGTATCTGGGTTTTAATGTGGTATGGCAACTTGAACTGATGTACGTACGTACGTAGTACTACATTGTTGCTGACTGACTGAAAGTTGCACAATTATGGTAGAATTGGTTCACGGCAAACTAAAATCTATATCCATTACTTATCTCCTCATGTCTTTTGTTCAAGCGCAAAAGTTGGAATGCTACTTAATCACTTGAATGGGACGATTTATGAGACAACAGATCTTTTAATAGTTGACCTATATTATTGTCTTTTTATTTTCGTGAACCTCATACTTTCGTAAATTCTATTCTGATGTTTAATTGGTTCAGATCTGATCGCGGAAGTCCAAATGAACGTGTGAGCTCTTCAAAACACAAACGTTCATCCCACCATTCGAGGCACAAACATTCATCCCGAAAGCATCATCACCGTGATTCCCACTGTAGTGACTATAAACATCGTTATCGCCGAAAGCATCGACGTCACAGTTCAACTTCATCTACCAGTTCATCTAGTGATACTAGCCCTGAAAGCAAACCTAGTCGTCGTGGAAGTCATAATGGTAGAAATCCAACACAACTCCTCACAACAAGTTCCAAGGATTATTTCGTAAGTCTGTCATGTATTATCTTCAAGAAATCTTCTTTGGGTACTTTAATTTAATATCCAGTAAACTTTATTTTTACCAATTGTCATCCCTAGCATAGTTATTGTTTTTGTGCTGTTAAGTGAAGCTCGAGTTTCAAGACTTGAATTGAAACTAATTGTTTGTAGTTACTAGTTGTTTCATTTTATGAACAACGCACAAAATATCAACTTCTCTACATTCGTTCTTTTTTTATCTTATGTCAATTTATCATCTGCTTTCCATAATCTCTTTCAGACTTCGCAACCGAAGCCAGAAAACCAGAACACTAACCTCATTATCTCAACGACGGGAGTCACCGTGACGACAAATTCTCCGGCAGTTTCTAGTCAAAGTACGAATCTTACTGTCTTAACCTATCAGTATTTCAGATCATAAAATTAGATTTTAGAATACAATTCATTAGCCACTGAGGAAAATGTTAATAGATATAAAAAAGATTAAAACAAGGAAACACTTCTGGGGTAACTAGTTGTTCGAGGATTAAGAGATTTCAGCTCAACATAAAAGTAAGGAATCATGGCATGTTCATTAGACGTCTAAAGCAAACACAATGTACTCACTAAATAATCTTATTTCCCGATATGATTAGAACCTCACAGCAGAATATCATTTTATGATGTACTTTACTTTTTAAAACTCGTCTAGTGACAGATTTACCATATTATTTTTCAACTCTGAAGCTATCGTAAAAATGTGATATTCACCGTAGATATTACTCCGCCGTAGTGTGATATTGCAGATAAAATTTTCATCATTGGACGGATCAAATTGGTAAATGCGGACAATTGAGTAGCATAATTCTTTCAAAACCAAGAATGGTAAAACGTAAAGTCTCTAATTGCAGGTTTATGAATATAGTCAAACTGAAATCAATATATATGTAGTAGGTCAATATGAAATGACAGTTCTTTGTATATCGTGCTAAATGTTTGTTCATTTTGTTCAATATATCCATTTGACAAACACCGTAGAGTTTCAATATCACGTCACACATGTCAAAAAACAAAGGTAACTGAAGTCAAAGATTTTACGAAGTCATTAAGATTTTATAAACTTGATCACTAGTATTTCATAAGATGCTATTCTTCCAAAATTTAATTACCTGGGTGCTTTTTCGTCCAGGTACTACGACGAATGTTCCTGTGCAGCGGTTAACAGCACAAGATATATTAGACAAAATACAAAAGCATCAACAAGAGCAAGCCAAGGCTCAAGCATTAGCCGCTGCCGCCGCCGCGAAGCTCCCGAAATACTACAACCCAACCACTGTCAACGCCGTTAAACTCGCGGAGCAACAACAAAAGCGCAAACTATTGTGGTCCAAAAAAGATGGTGAAAACACTAGTTCTGTAAGTAATAGTCTATTTTGGAAAATAAGGTTCTTTTTTGGTGTGTTGACTAAATCGTAAATGTTCATTGCGAACTACAAAATCTTTATTTTTAACCTAGGAAAGTAAAACTCTTTGGACAGCCACATCTCTAATTGCTGGAAAAGGTGATTCTGCAGCTGCAGCTAAATTTCGGAAATTGATGGGAATTCATGATTCTTCTGAAGAAGTCGTGGACGGAAGTGCTGCTCATGTCAATGAAACTGAAGCTTTGCGTCGAGCTGAAGCGCAAGCTGAACTTTTCCGGCGACTTGAACACGAATATGAGATGTCTCGTACCATAACACATACTCAGCGAGGCGCCGGTCTTGGTTTCAGTTCATCCAGCCATATCGATTACAATGCATATTCTGCTATGCAAAGTGAAAAAGACAAAAACCCTAATTTATAATTGTATTTATCTCACTAGAAATCACTTGTACAGCTCACCGATATTTTAAAGAATAATTTACCTAATTATTTTCAAACAGTTCAGTCATTTTTACTTATCGTAAATAACCAACGATCAAAACTAAATGTATGAGGCTGATGAAGAAAACTAAACCTTATGTAGGTACTTTGTTAAATGATGTCATATACGCAAACTTAGTGTATCACTGCATATATTCCAGACAACTTAAAAGTAATATGGTTAAGAAGACTAAATTGACTGAGGTAAAGTGAAGTACAGTTGATAGTTTTTTTAGTGTTAAAGAATCATTGCGGAATATAGCGCGGATATCTTATCAATTCAGACGTGAGACAGTAGCTGGACTGCTAAAGTATCCATACTTTCACCTGCTAGCTTGAAGGTTCCGACAATGCATTTAAAACTAAACAGCACGGTGGTACCATTAATTCTCACAGATATGTCAATTATGCTGAACATTTATCCATAGAAGTATTTAATTTATTTCCATTCTTTTTTAGGTTTCAAATAATTTCGTAAAGAAGTGGGTCCATAAAAACACCTTACTATTAAAGCATTGGAATTTCTTAATTAAAAGGTTCTCATGAGACTGTAATCATCAACCGATAAGTTTGTCTTAGCTACGGATATTCCTGTAATTGGTCTAAATGCAGTTATCACGTAAGTGTTCGGCGGACAGTCGTATTTGCGGAGGGCTTTTAGTGGGAAAAGGTATTCACTGAATAGGAAGGACAGTTATTGCTATCACATAAGCACTGGTCTGGTACGAATTACCACATTCGAGCTGGTCCTCATGTGCTGAATTTTATCTTTCAATCGAACAAGTCACTTAGAATAATTAAATTCAAAATTTGGAATTAAGATCTTTCCAGTGTTGCCTATATAGTAAAAGGTAAACCTACCATCCATGCAACTAAGCCTAAACATTATGGTGTTTTTTTATCACAGAGCACCGGACCGTAGCTGCTACTTTGACGTGTTGATCGAGCTCGCCTATCGTGATGAGTCAGCCGAGCTATACCGGCTGGAACATATGTTCCTGTAGGTTCTACCATGCCAGGCAGGTCGGTTGGAAAACAGTATGACAAAAAGCAGCAACTCAAGGTCTGAGGGCGAAGTCGTACTGCTGACTGTAGAGGGGTGTGACAGCAGTAAGGTGTTTTCTTCGGACAACCAGCGTCTGCAGCGATACTGCCTTCTGACAAGGAAGGGCGGGTTAGAAAAGGTCGACCCGAAGAATGTCATACCTTACCTCACAGATTTCCGCCTCCGGTGACAAGGCCTTTTGATGAACGGAGCTAAAACGTTAAAAACTTCCCACAAAAAGACCGTGCGTGACCGGCTTCAAGCAGTTGTCCCTTGGGCTCTGTGGTCACGCTCCCAGGTCGTTAAGACCAACATTAGCCCACCTTCCTTTTCAGGTTCCTCAAGAAATACCCTTCCACGGTGTGGGCAGCCGGAAAGTGACATCAGCCCTCATACCCGTAACAACACACGAGACCAAGTTGGTCATGATCAAATCCTTCCCACACCTGATAACTTTCTTATTCTCACGTCTCCTTTAGGTACGCAAAGTATTTCCATTAAAACCCTTCTAAAGATATTTACTGACTAGTTGCTTGGATGCGGAACATATAAGTTCACATTTAAAAGCAATCATACTTCTTTAGATTTAACAAACGAGATCCGATGCGAGTTCATTAGGGGATGAGAAGATTTTGTCACAACTTCCCCCGCCAACGTTCCACTTTAAACTGTTTACTTGAAGTTGAACTTTTTGGGTCACCAATACTATTTTCCTTTTCCATTTCTCACTTTTGTAATAACTGAATAGGCTATCAGTTGCTCTTTGCTTTTTATCGTGATAAGTTTCCGAGATCTGCTGGCTTCCCCTAACCTTTTCGTTTAGGTTGCTTATAGAAGTCGCTACCGTCTTTTCAGCAAAAACCAAATCATACTAGATCAGCACATAATGAACATCCATTTTTTGGTCAGCTAGTTGCTTAAGCTAGTTCTACCTTTACTGAGATAAACACTTACGAGCCAAATTATGAGGGGTTATCTTATTAGTTTTTCTGCATTTAGTAAGTTCCGAATGAGTGCGCGCTCAAACTGAAGCTCGAGATCCAGATATGTACAACAGAAATAGTCGTAATTTCCCACCAACCTCCCCAAACGATGACCGAGAAGGGTAAGAGTCTTATTTCTATCGTCTAATTAGTATCGAGATTTCCGAGGACGGTCAGCATCCCATTTTTAAAAACATTGCCCGTTGAGAATAAACGGTTGCATTTGACAGTCAATGTCAACGGAGTAAAACACAAATCAAAACATGAGCGTTGAGGCCACCCATCATAATTACACCTGAGCGTATAGCTTTCTGAAGGATGCCAGAAATCGTTCAGTAGAACTCACTGAAATTTTATCCAGAGACCTTACGAAATTACAGCCTAACGACATAGAAATACTAGGATCAAAACACTCATTTCATGCAGACAACTAGAATAATAAGTTGCAGGCGGGAGTAATGATTATTTGTCATTTATTGAGGATGAAAGCTCTTCGAAAGTTGTAATTTCAGAACTATAATCTGATGATTTTATCTTCCATCTATAAGGGAATACATTTCGTATACGTTCATTAAAGTCGTTTCTAACCACTGGGTTTATAATGTACCACGTACATAAAGACAGTGCTCCCAGTGATGAGGTAGTTATAATTGTTGCTACTCCAAGAGCACGAGCAGCAAAATGTATACCAGATTCGTGCATAGTTTTGTTCTGATTGATTGCCTGTGAACAGTATAATTGAGAAAAATGACATAACATTAAAATTAGGTTGAAGAATTGGTGAACTTTTGAAAGTAGGCTTGATAGCTTGGACATTTGCAGCGATATATTGTTATTTACATAAGCAATAATGAATTTTATAGTTTTTACGCCAAGTGATTTCAAATCAGTTTAGTGGTTGAGGACCAGTTCACCCGTTAGATTTATGTATGTACCAAGTGGTTTCGGCATGAAATGGGTTGAATAAATTCGGCACTGAAACTATCAAGATTAACCCAGCTATATATTAATGCAGAAGAATCGTTTTATAGAACGGTTCCGCTGACCCAGATATACTAAAACGATATTCCAAATCAACTTGATGTTCTTGTGTTTGCTATCCAAGCCCACATAGCTTATTCTAGCTTCCGGACAAGTAACTTATTCGTCTTGAGTCACATTTTGACCTTGTCAATTATTCAGTTATCAATCTTTTCCATTTCTATGTAAGTGTATGTGTGCACATTTCTTATTTTACTCATCGCATCTATGGCACTTATTTTTGTCTGAGTATAAGTATGCATTCACGATTGGTTAAATCGAGTTGGCTCCATTGCCTTCTCCAATCTGTTTCGCTTCGTTTTACCGATCGTTTTATTTGATCAACGATTGTATGAATACACGTATTCGAAATTCATTCTTGTATTTGACTTGTTGTAATCCCGTTATTTACTGGCGTGAGTTAAGTTTATAATTATATACGAGGATTGGTGACATGTATATTTCAATAACAATTATTCATATGATCCAAATGGAGTGGGATCTTGGACCACTAAAATCTACCGAACATAACAGCTAGGAAAATGCACATCTTTTGTTCTTTTCAACATGTGATACGATGACTAATACTTCAAACTCAAATATGAGTTATGTAGGCAGAAAAAAGATAGGTTTATCACGAGACTGCAGCATTCCATGAATATTTATCAAGTGAATGTAGTATATAAAATGATGATCCGTTAAAAGATAAAGCTACGTGAATGTAACGAGACTTATCATAAAAATAACTTGACAAAATAGCAAATGGTAGTCATGGTATGGTCCATTAGTTAAGAGACATGATATTGTTTATTCTTAACTTTTATCAAATAGATTAAAGTCAATTGTAATTAGAAAGATACACTAACTCGACTTTTTAAAAATCTCGATCTTAATGTCATTTCATAATTCTATTCTTTAACATCACTCATCTTTATTGAGCCAGTTCAAAAGTTCACAAAACACAGGCCAGTAGGAATGATCAGAGATTGATAGTATTCATATCTGAATAAACTATAGGAATGGACAATCGTAGTGTGTGATAAAAAAGATAAGACAGCGAAATAACTTCAAGGTAAACTATCGAAAATTTTGAGAAAAATAAAATCTTACTTGCATGAATGGTAATGGATTGACCTTCTTGAAAGATGATATTCTATATGTGAATCCCGCCATTAAAGACAGACCTGATATACCTACAAACGCACCAAAAACTATTTTTCTACCAATATAGCAAGATTTTCCTTACCAAGATAATTTGGCGGAATCTTCCGGCTTTTCTTATCCTCGTGTTCTGTCATAGTATCTGGTGTAATGAAATGCACGAGGTCGCTAAAACAGTAATAAATAACATTTAATTTAAGAATGATAGAAAATCATCACTTTGTTAGACATTAACTATAACTAGAATATCAATGCAAATCTATACAGGGCTTACATCAGTCAGTTATGTGCAATGTAGAACCTAGCATATTTGTGGAGGGACTCAAGTTGTCACAACATATCAGCACATAGAAGAGAAATTATGAAGAAAAATTCTAAAGTACTAAAAGTAGTAACATTGTATGTATTAGTAGAAAACATTTGGAACAGACCATATGATTCCAGAAGAATGAATGAATTCGCAGAGCGAAATGTATGGGATGATTAAGAATTCAAGATCTTAGAAAATGCAAAACGTGAATGCATCTTAGCCATTATGAACGATCCGGAGACATGTCACATAGGTTCCGACTATTGGTTACAGTAATAAAAAGGAACCCTAACCAGTTAGTGTGCATTTAATAACATGGTTCGCTTCAACAGTCACTAACTTAAACGAATGGTTACATGTTTTACTATTGCCGCCTTTATATATATATATATATATATATATATATATATATATATATATATATATATGGTCTACAAGGTAACAAGGAAATTAAGGAATCAATGTGGAACAAATTCAATTTAAAATCAATAGAATATGTTTTAATATAAATGAAATTTATTTCTGACGTTTACACAAATCACACAGATAAATTACCAATTAGAGAACAGAGAGAGAAAAATAAAAGAAATGCAAACTAAGAATGATATGTTTCTAGTTTTTGTGATAAAGCGTTCCATTTTTAAGAGTGTTTAGTTCGTGTCAAAATTATATTTAATAATGGAATATTATCACAAATAGCAATTTCACACGAATTTAATTATTCTAATGTGAAGATTTTTAATAAGAATAAAAACGTCAAAGTTTATAATTAAGCAACTTGAATTGTTGTGTTTGGTTTTTTGTGCAATGTATTACGTAGATTTTCAATTTCATTCTCTTGTAAGTGTACTTCAGCTGTAGTTTCAGCGAGCTTTAAAACAAAAAGAGAAAGTTTTACATAGTGATGTATTTTGGACATAGTATAATTAGTATAAGGAATTTCTAGAGATTTCTGAAATAATATGAAATGACATTCATTAAACAACTAATGAAAACCATAATGCACTGAAGCGCTGTTTTATCCTATTATGGGACTCTTTATCAGTACAAATTCAGTAGATTTTGATTCGATGGCTTAGAGACTATGAGTTTGCCACGAGAAATGAAGGTTCTGAGTTGCATTATTGGTGGGGTTGTTGATGTACTCCGTTGATGGTTCCTGTACTGGAACGAAGCAGCTGTTCAGTGCTTTCTGGATTTCAATGGTAGTCTGAGAAAGGTCAGTTCCCAATATAAACTATAAAATAAGTTGAATTATGTATACTTGCATATAAGGATAATAGCAATCTAAAACTAAATAATACCATACCATATCTAAGAGTATGTCAATTTTCAACTTTAACAAATTATTTTCTTCAATTAATTGATGATTTTCTTTTTTAATACGAAATGTTTCACGACCTAATTGAGTTGCATTTCCAGATTCATCATTTAACATTCCATTTTCTCCTTCTGAAATGAAAAATATTTATAGATAATGAAATAACTTGGATAAAATAACGGCATCACTCACAAAAGACTATTCCAAAAGATTAAGTGATACTAAACAAATTAAGCTACATTATTGATTTTCTTGTTAGTTAATTTAATAACCGCCTTATTGGGGATGTTAAATTCCTACATAGGATTTAGTAGATAGAAATTGAGTAACAGACTATATCTTGTTTTATAAATTCACTTTTTATTCATTTAAATTTCATATCAATTTCGTGTGATTTCTGTCCATTCAAATTTGAGTTGTTTCAGTGTAATCTTTCATTCACTTGACTTTGGTTTAGTATGAGGACTGATTGCAGAAATGCTTTGTTATTGTGCGCTTACATAACAGCTATTTAATAATTTATGTAACTAATAATTATTAAATTACTCAGAATATAGCTGCATGACCCAGAGAAATACGATTTATCTTTTGAGGTCTTGTCCAATACATCTTCCTTACTCGAATCCTTTCTCTTCCATTGAGTGGAAGTTAATTGTTGAAGTGTTATGTACTAGTCGTCTGGTCTATTTCGTACGCGCTCGTAGTCAGAAAATTAAGCATTCCGAAACATAACATGTATAGATTAAATCAGGTCGATAATACAAACCTTATAACTCAAAAGTCGTCTGTATTCATCATTAGTAGATGGTAGTTGAAATGACTAGTGTATAATATATATGCTAAACAATACAACAAGAATGTATTTCAACTCCACTTTATCATTCATAAAACAGATTGTAATTATGTGAGAAATACAAGTTACTTTTGAAAAGTAATGATTTTTACTTTGGTCTAAACAGAACAACTAAAATTCTTTTTACTTTACATTTCAATAATAATTGAGTATTAAAATGATTTCACATTAGATAACAGTGACTTTTAGTTAAAAATATTTTTTCAGAAAATCATAGACTGAAATCATGAGTCAATTGAAGCTAGACCAGGTCTGTTGTGAGATATCAGCTAACTGAAGATAATGGTATACGGTGGCGCAACTTCGTGGATTGGTTGAAGTTTGACATTAACACCATTGGATGCCGACTCAGTGGTCTAGTTTGTTAAGCGCTTGGCGCGAGACTGATAGGTCCTGGGTTCGAACCTCGCGGGGTGCGGGATCGTGAGTGCATACTGCTGAGAAGTCCCATACTAGGACGAAACGGCCTTAGAGTGCTTCCAGGTTTTCCATGGTGGTCTAGCTTCAATTGACTCATGATTTCAATCTGTGATATAAATATTTCAAAAAAATATCCAGATAAATGAAATACGATAAATGTATATAGGGTAGAATAAAAATACCGAAGGAAAACGGATAACAGTAACCTACACAATAATATGGAGGTTTAAAATTGTTATATAATAATCCAATGGAAACTAGGTTATGTGATATGACAAATTTTAGAGACAAATTTAATATTGTTCAAATTAAATCCAATATTTTTAAGAATGAAAGAAAAAAAGGGAACACTAAACCTACTGAGTAAAATAGACTATTCTTGTTTATATCATTACCAGAAGTTTGATTTAATAATTTCGAATAAATTGAGCATTGGATAGATTGTTATAAATAAATCCATTAATATGTTTGTAATATCCTAATGAGTGGAAAAATTAAATTTTCCGACATTTCGTAACTCAGTGTAAGTCAAATTCTTAATTGAATAATTTTATTATAATTATAACTTATTCTCTGAAAAACTGGTTTACACTGAGTTACAAAACGTCAGAAAACCTAATTTTGCTATTCATTGGGATGTTACAAATATATTTTTATTTATTTTCTCAATTATTTTATTACAATAGATTTAATTGGAAATGGTCATTTGACAAAATTATCCATCAATAACATTGAGTTCTTAATCTATGTATGAAAATTAAACGTTCTCATAAAAAATCTATGTTACCGATTGTAATCCGATGACATACATTCAAGGGATAAGTCAACATATATCAATAATAGAGTTCTGGGAGTGTTGTCTACAGGAAATACATGTAAGAAAATTGCTTCTTTTTTATCACGTAGCATTAATATTACACGAAACGTAAGCAACCAGAAATATGAAGGCGTGTATGTATTAGAGTTCTAGTGTGAAATCTACTACAGAGAGAATGAGAGTGCTTCATTGCAGAAACATTTCATAATATTTGAAATTAATGCTGTGGCTGTTTACAAATATAATCAAGTAGATTTGTGAGTAGAACAAAACATAGTTTTGGTTTCAGTATATCTTCGTTATACAAATGCACCTTACACATACGGTGTTTATTCAATGTACTAAAAAAAATATATAAACAAAATTGTTAGGCAATACGCCCTCAAACTATCAAGAATGTCTTCTTTTATTAAAACAAAACTAATTATTTTAAAGAGAGCTCTCTTTAAGATAATAAAGGCACTATGTATATGAAAACTAATTATTATTGATATATAAAGAAGTATTGCTTCATAAGTCCAGAAATATTTGCAAATATAACTTTAACATCTATCTTTTATTGTACTCATAGTAAATATGAAAAACGTACCAATGATCCACTGTCCATTACGGAATACAAGATCCCGTCCACTTAAACGTGTTCTAATTGGTCCCAAATCCATGCTGAACTCTTGACTTCGCGTAGTTGAATCTAGATGTGATAAATTTGTCATACTAGACGCTTTTCGAGCAGGAAACTTTGGTACATTGAATTTTCGTTGGAAAAGAGGCATTTTTTGATTACAAATAACTAGCCAAATAGTGGTTGATAACAGTATTCAATTACCTTGAAAAATCAAGTTTTTTTATATTACAATATAGATTGCGTAAGTAATAGGAACAAGACACTTTCAAAACAGTAGCGCAGTACCCTGTGAACACAATTCATGCTAAACTATGAACTTTACTTTTCTTTTGAAGGCTGAAAATATTGCGCAATATTACACAGTAAGAAGAGGAAGTGTGGATTGACAATCTAGTGACTACATCAAGAAGACATATTCAGGCAATACTTCGGAAAACTAATTCTAAGACTAAATTTTTATGTTTGGCTTCGTATAAGACAGGAAAAAGACTCAGTAGTAAAAAAATGACAAATTAACGAAGGTACAGACAGAAATTAATTGAGTAATTGTTTTATTGACAACCACTTTACTGAAAGAACGCGAAATGTTCAAAAGTATCTTTGAGCATGTCACAATGATAAGTGTTAAATTTTATCCACAAACTCAGATTTTATTGCTTGTATGACTGCCTAGGTGTTGGACAGTGTGAATACAATTCTTTAAATACGGTTCTTGTTTTCATTATGTGAATATTTTACAAAATACTGTTGAGATTTACATGCGTAAACTAGTTGTTTCAAACACTATAAAATGTTACAGTTTACAAACTTTAATTATTTTTTAGATCATTTATACTGCAGCAAAAAACAAAATTGTTTGTTGCATTCTTGAATGACAGTTACCAAGGTCATGGACAGATTATTCATCAAGTTGTATTACCTACTATTGGGGTCAATGCTTCCGACAATTGAATTAATTAAGGTGTTTACTCATACTTTGCATAACAAAGTAGAATATTGACAACTACCTAAAATAATTTTATATGGATAGCTCATGAGAAAATTCTTTAACAGAAAAGGACTAATTTACATAGTTATCCTAACTGACATATCAAATTAAAATTTTAGTTTTCAGAAGAAATGTTCTAAAGTAGTTAAAACAACAATATTCATATGTAATCGTCAAGATATTGGCTGGATTTGTCTGTATCTATGCTGTTCTCATTGAAACATGAAGCTAGTAACCATCCTCATGAACATTAGATTTTCATCTACCAAGCTGATAGATTATGAGGAATACCATTTGTTAAACAAGTATTCATCTTATTGCAAGTATTTATATATTTAAGACTGAATTGAATAATCACGTTAACATTCTGATTAATTGATTAGTGACTAAAACAAATGAACTCTTTTGTAAGCTGAATACAATGAAAAGATATGCTGTTGATAAAGAGTAGTCTTAAATGAGAGATTTTGTATATTTTAAGTATCTTGTATGATATGTTGATGTCGTTGATCTAATTCCTTTAAAATTATGAATGGAAATTACATCGAATAATACTAATATAATGAAATAAAATAAATTCATTATAAAAATGAAAGATAATATAATACAAACAATCATCATTGACAATGTTTTAGATTAAGAAAACATAAAATTTCAAAAAAATACGATTTATATTTTACATCATTTTTCAGTTAACAAATTGTAATTCATTAGGATGTAACAGCAAAAATAAAACAAGCAAAGAACTGAGCAAGTTCAAATCACAATGGGATCAGTCAGGAATGAATATATACATCGATTTGATGAGGAAAGGATTTTTCGTATTATTGTCCTTATTCATTCCATATAAGATGAGTAAATTGTTGTTTCAGTGATTGATGAAGAATTAGCAGTAGTCACCAAAAATAATCCAAAAATATATTCTTTTACTTACAAATAGTGATAATAATAATAATAATGCACATTATCTTTAGACGGACGGAAGAAAAATTCTCAAAAGTAATTATTTTCTTGATGCACTAAACGCAGTTGATCATTGATTTGTGTATGCAGTGTCTTTGCAAGTAGGATAGCTATAAGCTAAGAAAGAAACAGAAAGATTTAAGGAAGTGAAATAGAAAACGTATACAACTGTTAATAATAATTATATATACATAATTAGATGGATGGTAAAAATGTCCTGAAAAAAACAAATAGAGCTGTAAACTTTGAAATATAAAACTGTGGCCAATTATTTGTTTAAAGTATCTGCTACCGATTGTGTTATTATTATCAACATATAAAAGAGTCCCTAGCATAGTATCAGTCAGTCAGTCATTTACAACGTAGGACCAGGCACATATATACATCGGTCCAAGTTGCCACACCTCATTAACACAGCAAGATGAATACCAAATTCATAAAAGTAGTTACTTCAATCGTAGTCTTCAATGAAAGTATAAAAATGTGAGTCATATGAGACATGAAAACTTCTAAACTAACGCAATAGAAGAAACCGAACAGCGATATATACATGCAAATATATATATAACAACAGACGCAAATCAGACGTATATATATACAGCATAAAACTGTCCTTGAGAAGCGTTAAAAAATAGTTTACTAAAATATACAACGGACCAATAGCGTTAACGATTCTCCCAAGTGGGAAATACATGAATATGAGAAGAGCGCTTTTGGCGCGAAAACAAAGAAATTTAAATGTTCAAAATACAATTAGAAAATTAAGATATTTACCAAGGGAGTTCTGGAGATCTAACATCCCCAACAAACGAGCAGGTTATCCCTGGACGATACTACGAGTAAGGGACGGTAAGTTAACATTTCAGAGGCATCAAGCTTTTCTACTTTTAACAAGATCAGAGCATCAAGATATTATAACTAATACACAGTTAAATACGGTCGGGCGTAAATTTATTACACCAAAAACCACATCATAGATGGTTGGTTGATGTTTACGAACATTTTACACAATAAGACAACTCTATTCCTTAAGAATCTGTGCTAAAAATAAAAGAAACTAAGAATTAATCATCTGCAAAGACATTTAGAACTGTTGAAAGAAATCACGGAATCATTTAAATATTTTAAATCCAGGTATTATACCTTTTGCATATATATATATATATATATATATATATATATATATATATATATATATATATATATATATAGTGGACTAACCTGAAACACAGCTACGCTAACAAACCCATAAGCGAAATAGACTATGTTGTTTTCCACTGCACTGATAAGAGCATGAACACATCCAGTTGTCCATACCATACGATTGGCTTCAGCAGTTGTTAATTTTTGTACACCAAATCCACACGATGTATTAATAATATTAACCTATGGTTGAGTGTAAGCATATCATTACAATTATTTCATAAATAGTTGATTTTAAGGCTGATATTTTATCATTATTTTTTAGATACTTAAATCTAGTAATAATTAATTCATTAACTTGAGTCTAGAATTTATCATGGACTGGTAAGAGCTGAATGATCAATAGTACAGTAAGCGAACTCTCACACAGGGGCATTTCTCTCGTGCTAGTTAGGGATCACTAATATTCAGTGATGCATAGCCACGACCACTCGTTAGAGAAATCAAACAAATGTTATGATGATAAGTTGTAGAGATTAATCCCTCTATATCTGAATTCAATAAATAATATCCTGTTAATTGAGTATTTACTCAGGCCAAATCTCCTAGTAGTATTATAAATTTACTCGAGATTATTCAGAAAATCAGTTGTAGGGATGGTGTATTTGAATGAAAATAAAGAGAATTTAGCGAAGAAAATTTTCATTTCGACGAAATCATTTACTTAAGCTATAAATATGAATATACAGATTAAGTAAATGATTTTGTCAAAATGAAAATTTTCTTCGCTAAATTCTCTTTATTTTCATTCAAATACACCATCCCTACAACTGATTTTCTGAATAATCTCGAGTAAATTTATAATACTACTAGGAGATTTGGCCTGAGTAAATACTCAATTAACAGGATATTATTTATTGAATTCAGATATAGAGGGATTAATCTCTACAACTTATCATCATAACATTTGTTTGATTTCTTATTCAATGACACAATGGACAGTGTATTGTCAATAATGGATAGAATCCGCAAGCACACAGGGAAGCAAGTGTAAATATCAAAAGAATACATAAATACTTAAGAGTGTTAATCGATTGTTGATAAATTATTATTGATTGTTTGTGTTTACAACTAATGAGAGAATAGATAAACATTGATGTACAGACATTCGTCTAATCAAACACAATTTTATATAGTAGGTCAAATGTCTAAATTACAGAAATTAGACAAATAATAAAATATATACTATGGCCTTAATATACTATACTTATTGTCAATATCATTTTATATTGATATAAGCACGTATAATAAACTGATAGTATCTCACTGATTGTAAGAACCGAATCAAGACAATAAATACGAGGACATAAAATTGGGGGGAGGGGAATAATAGTTTAAGGAGAATCCTGAAGTATGTGATGTATAAAGATCTAATTATGTGTAACAAGTTAGCACATGGTATTCTATAAAGAATTGTAGGTATTGTGGTTACTAGTGTACAGTGTATTTGTTTATCAGAAGACTCAAGTTTTATTCAATCTGATGTTGTGATACTTGTGTTAACATACTTTTTGAATAATACTTTGAATTTACTAAGTAATGTGGATCTTATTAATACACACACGAATGGTATTTTACTTACTGAAGTGTATGTATGAAATGAAAGATTTGATACTTCATTTTAAACATATTTTCAAAGTGAAAATCATGATGGAGGTTAGCTATACGAACGATATCTTAAATTTAATGAAAAGTATGCTTTTGATTTATGATCTTTGTCATCATAATGATGTACTGCAAGTGAGTTGTTTTGTTGTTTGTTTCGATGTGAATAGATTAAACCAACAGGAAAGATTAAAATGAATTTTTGACGATTTTCACTGCTACTATTGTATACACTTAAATAACGAGATTGGGATCTTGTTTGTAATGTGTATACTAACACATCTCATTTAAAATGGTGGATGCAATTTGTAGCTTAGATGGATGATTTTGATAGAAATTCGTTTTTTTTTTGTTGAAACAACATATTGACAAAGAGATTTGTGGAAAAAGTAAAGTTGTTTTCTAGTGGAAGCCTACACGCTGAACACTACTGAACTTTTCATTCCACTGATAACCAAAGCAAAACTTAGAAAACGCACTTCATTCTTAAAGTTGATGAAGTAAAACACGACACATTCAAGTATTACATTTACATACTACCTTCTAATGACAATAACTAATAACAACAATATTAGTATGACTATGGGATGTTGAAATTGAAAACTGATAAGTAATTTATTTGAAATACAAATAATAGAATTTTGTCCAGTTATAGAAAGCTAAAAAATGCTTACACTGATATCATTCATTTGACGGCAACAAGAATATGGAACTCCACAAGCTTCAGGGCTTATATTAGACTTATCACATGAAAAGTATCGATTAGCTGTCCAATCAAGGTATGACTTAGGTCCGCAACAATTAAGCTGTATGTAAATACACACATATATATATATTGAAATATAATATTAAAAAACCTTTAACTAGACGATTACGTTTTCAAAAAATATTTTAAAAATAGTAAGAATTAATTACTAAAAACAAACATGTAATATTGCTGCCATGAAGATAGAAATCTGAATCGTGAAGTATAAACATCCGATTAAGATTCCAATTTTATGAATTTCCGGGCTCATAATGTCACTGAAATATATTACAATATAAACCTGTATCAACTGTGCTCGTTCATATTGCTTCACCCTCATTCTCTCCAATTTAACAACTTCAAAAATATGGGTGATATGAGATGACAAAAGAGACCTTTGTGTTTTTTTTATTAGTCATTTTATGGGCCTATTATCCTTCATGATGATGAATGTGTTTTTTTTTTATAAATTTTACTAACCTTTATTACAATTGGTTTGAAATCCGACATAATTTAACGATACACCTTTTATCAATAAGTCCCATTTGCCGGATTTGCAATATTTCGGAGCGAGAAAATACTTAGAAACCGGAAAATATGGTAACAATGACAGTAAATGCTTGAAGAATTTTACTTTAAAATAGAATGATGATTCCATCGGTAGGAATAGTAAGCTAATTCCTTAGTAGCTTTTGAGGTGCCTGAATGTTTCTGTAGAAAATTATTTGTAAAGTGACAAGACTATAGACAGTCAAAACACTGAGTTATCTGCATTGTCAGTAACGTATGATTATGACATCTTAAATGAAAAGTATTTAAATGAATGAATGTGATTTAGCTTGGCGAGTATTTCCTAAAGTCCTTTAAATGTAGAAGATATTAAGTAACAAAGTACTTCGTAATTCCAAAACTATTCCAGGATAATAGAAACATTCTATTGTTGTCTAATTTCTCGAAGTTTGCGTTAAATAAATGGCCTCCCTAGAAATTTAGAAATACCATACTGTTTTTAGTTCTAAAGTAATTCAGTATATTGGAAGGAGCTATGCAAAGTGATCCGACAATAAATCCCCCTAACATTTCATTTTCATTACCGATAGCTTATCAAAACAATTAATTTATTAACTTTAAACACAATTACTCCAAAACCAAAACTTTAAACTCGAAATCATATAAATTAATTTACTGAACTTGATATAAGTCAACCAGATAGTGTAACAGAAGTCGAAGTAATTGTGGAATAATATAAAGTTAAAAATCATAGTAAGAATTATAGACATTTTTGGTAAGAATATAGGTAGACATTAAGTCAGTCAGTCAGCTACATCATAGGACCAGGCACATATATGCATCGATCCAAGTTGCCACACCTCATTAGCACAGCGAGATGAACACCGGATTCATAGAAGCAATTAATTCAATGGTGGTAATATATAAAAGAAAGATTTTGTATAAGGATATAGTACAGGAAGAGAGAATTAGTTCATAGGAATAAAGATATGAAGCGACTTTAACCTCATAGTTTAAGGGAAGAGAGTGTATACAAAGACGTCATTGTGATCGATTCTGAGTCATGTCACACAGTCTGCAACCATTGGTTACGATAGTCGCGCGGACCCCAACCAAGTAGTCTGCATCTACCAGCATGGCTAAGACTAGAAGTTAGTGACTTCAAGCACCGATTCCACGTTTTGGTTTGACCGCCTCTAACTTCCTTCCAACCATCACCAACACTAGACAGCATTGCGCGTTGTGGTAATCGGTGTCAATGTATACATAACACGTAGCCCAACCATCTCAGTCGGTGAAGATTCACAACCTCGCCAATTGATTTACCACCATTCCCTAAAACCCTGCGTCTAACCTCACTATTACTTACCCAGTGATCCCAGCAGTATTTTTAAGGCATCTATGGTCAAATGCTAGTAGCTTACGAGTATCCTTCACTCTTGATGGCTACGTTTCGCAGCCGTAAAGTAGAACAGAACGAACTGCCGCGCAGTATACTCGTCCTTTTATTGATAGACGGATATCTCGCCTTTGCCCTAGGTGACGTAAGTTGGTAAAATCTAAACGAGCTTTTCGATTCCGTGCTGAGATTTCATCAGACACCAACCCATTAGGGCTGATCAGACTTCCAAGATAAGTGAAGTTGTCGACACGTTCTACGTGTTGACGCAGACCAGTCCTGAAGCAACAACTTGCATTTAGAGGGGGAAAGGCGCATCCCAAATATTCTGGCATTGTTTCTCACGGCTACCAAAAGACTGCATTTTGTCAGCATTTTCACCAAACAGGACTATATCATCCGCGTATTCTAAGTCGATAAGTGGACCTTCTGGTAGGAGATCAAGAGCGTTATCTCCATCTATAGGTCTATAATGAAGTTAAACAAAAATGGAGCAAGTGAACGGCCTTGACGGACACTACTTCAGGTTACAAAAGCAGATGACAGTTAGTCATAAGCTCTCACTCGACTGGTAGTTTTCGAGTAAAGAACCTTCACAAGGTTTGTGTCCCGACCGTTGTTGCTACCTTGACGTGGTGGTCGGGCTTGCCTATCGTGATGAAGCAACCGAGCTATACTGGCTGGAACAACCGTTCCTCAAGGTCCTACCATGTCAGACAGGTCGGTTGAAGAGCGGTAAGACTAAAAGCAACAAACCCAAGGTCCGAAGGCGAAGTCGTACTGCTGACTGTACAGAGGTGTGACAGCAGTAAGGTGTTTCCTTCAGACAACCAGCATGACAGCGATGCTGCCTTCCCACAAGGAGGGGTGGGGTTAGAAAAGGTCGACCCTAAAAATGCACACCTCGCCTTATCCCACGGATATCCGTCTCCGGCGGTAAGGTCTCAATAAGTACGGAGCTAACACAAAAATTACCCATAACAAGGTCGTGTGTGACCGACCTCAAGCAGTTGTCCCTTGGGCACTGCGGTCACGCTCTCAGGTCACTAAGACCACCTTTAATCCAAATTCCTTTTCAGGTACCTCCAGAACAACCCTTCCACGGTGTGGGCAACCGGGAAGTGAAAACCGCCCTCATACCTCTAACAGCACTCAAGACCACTGTATTCATAATCAACCTTCCTCTTCAATTCCTATTATTCCTCCTACATCGACTTTCAACTTTAAATTTCCTCTCTCGGCTTCCACCTCAAGTGTCACCATAGCCAACGATTCTAGTGCGCAAAATACTGTCCCAGGTCTACTGAAACCTCGCTCCAAACTACACATTGGAGCCTTCAACGTACGCACTCTATGTCAAATTGGTCAGCAGGCTTCTTTGGCTAAAACCCTAGAGTCTCTTACCATTGACGTGTGCTGTGTCTCCGAAACACGCATACAGGATTCCAGTGTGGTCATTCACTTGACCTCACCTCGGCAAAACGGAGAGCCAACGAGGTACACCCTTCGTGTATCTGGTGACCCGATGGCAAGTTCTCGTGGACTGGCAGGTGTAGGCATAGCACTAAGCATGAGGGCCGAACAAGCACTGCTAGAGTGGATCCCCGTCAACAGTCGTCTATGTGCTGTTCGGCTGAACGGCTACGTAAGAACTCGGAAGGATAGGGACACACGTCGTTGCCTTTTTGTCGTTTCTGCCTACGCTCCCACTGACTGCAGCTCAGATGATGTGAAAGATGAATTTTACAGAAAGCTGTCCGAACTTCTTCAGAAAGCTAAACGCTCAGACATAGTACTCGTAGCAGGTGATTTTAATGCTCAGATAGGCAGTTTAAACCAAACAGAAAGGCATTTAGGTGGATATTTTAGTATTCCGACACAGCGAACAGATAATGGTGAGCGTCTGCTGCAGCTATGCTCAGACAATCGTTTATTTTTAGCAAACACAAATTTTAAGCATAAGGAGAGACATCGTCTAACATGGCGACCCCCTACACCAAACCAACGATGGACTCAAATAGACCATATTGCCATCAGTCATCGTTGGAGAGGGTCGGTAGAAGATTGTCGCTCATTCTGGAGTACCTGCTTGGAATCCGACCATGCCCTAATACGAGCACGCATCTGCTTGCGCCTCACTGGACGCAAAAAAGCCACATTAAAAAGACCCGTTAGAACTGATTTGAGTAACGAGAAAACCAAAAGTAGGTTCCAGGAACAACTGAGGTCACACTTAGGTAGTTGTGAAGACGAGGCTGACCCAGATGTTGCTTGGAAAGCCATACAAACAGCTGTGAAAACAGCAGTGACATCTATTAGTGACTTAAACCACAGAGTTGCAAGGAACCAGTGGATTTCTTCAAGGTCTGTCACACTGATGGATTCTCGCAAACTCGTCCCATTAGGTCCTGAACATGATGAAGAGCGACAACAAATCAGATCTAGGTTAAGAAAAAGTCTAAAGAACGACCGTGAGCAGTGGTGGGTAACGAAAGCAAAAGAGATGGAAAAGGCGGCGACTATAGGGAACACAAGACAGCTTTACAGACTAATAAAAGAAACTGGAATTAGTAAGTCAAGTGTAAGTGAGATTATTTCGGAAAAAGATGATACTCTCATCTGCTCCCAGTCCAGACGTTTAGAACGATGGGCGGAACATTTTAGAGAACAGTTCAGCTGGCCTTCAGCTACTCTACAACTACCCTCCATTCCCAGACAGTGTGAATGGAACATTGAAATAGGTCCCCCTACTCTTGCTGAAGTTCAAAAGGCTATAGTTAATCTGAAACGAGGAAGGGCAGCTGGTCCAGATGGATTGGCTCCAGAGGTCTTTAAGGATGGTGGTCCAATTTTAGCGATTAAGTTGACTAATATTTTAGCTAAGATCTGGGAATTAGACTTTATCCCATCTGACTGGTCGCAATCACTTATCGTCCCAATATATAAGAAAGGGTCGAAATCATCCTGTGACAACCACAGAGGGATTAGTTTAACAAACATAGTATCTAAAATACTGGCCTCGATAATTATCAAACGCCTAACTAAGACTCGTGAACTACAAACTCGAGAGAACCAAGCTGGCTTTAGACCTGGTCGTGGCTGCATCGACCACATATTCACCATTCGTCAGGTTCTAGAACACAGGCATACCTATCGGCGTCCGACGATGGTGGTCTTTCTTGACTTAAAAGCAGCATTTGACTCGGTAGACCGCGAGACTCTGTGGCAGTGTCTGTCATTGAAAGGCGTACCTCAGAAGTACATAAACCTTGTGAAGGCTCTTTACTCGAACACTACTAGTCGAGTCAGGGCTTATGGCGAACTGTCATCTACTTTTGCAACCTCAAGTGGTGTCCGTCAAGGCTGTCCACTTTCTCCATTTTTGTTTAACTTCATCATAGACCTATTGATGGAAATAACACTCTCGTCGGCTGAGTTCTCGGGTATTGATCTCCTTCCAGGAGGTCCACTTATCGACTTAGAATACGCAGATGACATAGTCCTGTTTGGTGAAGACGCTGAGAAAATGCAGAGTCTTCTGGTAGCACTAAGCAACAATGCCAGAATGTTTGGGATGCGCTTCTCTCCCTCTAAATGCAAGTTGTTGCTTCAGGACTGGTCTGCGTCAACACCCGAACTAAGGATAGGGAGTGAAGTAGTCGAACGCGTTGATAACTTCACTTATCTTGGAAGTCTGATCAGCCCTAATGGGTTGGTATCGGACGAAATCTCAGCACGGATTCGAAAAGCTCGTTTGGCTTTTGCCAACTTACGTCACCTTTGGCGAAGGCGAGATATCCGTCTATCAATAAAAGGACGAGTATACTGCGCGGCAGTTCGTTCTGTTTTAATTTACGGCAGCGAAACATGGCCCTTAAGAGTAGAAGACACCCGTAAGCTACTAGTATTTGACCACAGATGCCTTAGAAATATTGCTGGCATCTGCTGGGATCACCGGGTAAGTAATAGCGAGGTTAGACGCAGGGTATTAGGGAATGATGGTAAATCAGTTGATGAGGTTATGAATCTTCATCGACTGAGATGGTTGGGCCACGTATTACGTATGCCTGAACACCGATTACCACGACGTGCAATGCTAACCGGGGTAGGGGATGGTTGGAAGAAAGTTAGGGGCGGCCAAACCAAAACGTGGCATCAGTGCCTGAAGTCACTAACTTCTAGTCTGAGCCATGTTGGTAGATGCAGACTACTTGGTTGGGGTCCGCGTGACTTTCGTAACCAATGGTTGGAGACTCTTGGGGACATGGCTCGGAATCGATCACAATGGCGTCGGTGTATACACTCCCTGTCTTCCCTTAAACTAAGAGACTAAAATCACTTCATTCTTTCTGTCTACGAACTAATTCTTTCTTCCTATACTATATCCTTATTGCAACCTTTGACCTAACCACTCCTATGAATCCGGTGTTCATCTTGCTGTGCTAATGAGGTATGGCAACCTGGACCGATGCACATATGTGCCTGGTCCTACGTTGTAGCTGACTGACTGACTGACTGACAAGGTTTATGTACTTTTGAGGTACTCCTTTCAATGACAGACAGTGCTGGAGAAGCTCTCGGTCTGCGGAGTTAAATGCTGCTTTCAAGTTAAGAAATACCATGATTGTCGGACGCCGATAAGCATGCCTGTGTTCTAGAACCTGACGGATGGTGAATATGTGATCGGTGCAGCCACGACCAGGTCTGAAGCCAGCCTGATTTTCTCGTGTTTGAAGTTCACAAGTTTTTGTTAAGCGCCCGATAATTATTGATGCTAGTATTTTAGATTATATGTCAGTCAAACTAATCTCTCTATGGTTGCCACAGGATGATTTTGACCCCTTCTTATATATCGGGACAATAAGTGATTGCCACCAGTCAGATGGGATTTTACGCCCAATTCCTGGATTTTAGCTAATATATTAGTTAACCTAATCGCTAAATCTGGATCACCAGCCTTAAAGTCCTCTGTAGCCAATCCATCTGGGCCAGATGCTTATCCTCGTTTCAGATTAGCTATAGCTTTTTGAACTTCAGCTGGAGTCGGGGGACCTACTTCAATGTTCTATTCACGCTGTCTGGGAACCACGGATAGTTGTAGAGTAGGTAAAGGCCAGATAAACTGTTCTCTAAATTGTTCCGCCTATCGTTCTAAACGTCTATTATTATTATTGTTATTATTATTATTACAATCATTATTATTTGAACACAAATACTGGTACAATGGGGCACCAGATACATATGCGCCACACAAATCTCATTCGATTTGTGTGAGGGCTGTGATACTACCCAGGTGCCTAAACCGAAGCAGGTGGTTTTCTCAGGGGACCACACCCGCAGCCTTCGACCTAAAGGTCCGATTCACAAGACAGTGGAGCATCGTAAGGAGATGCTGTCCCATGGTAGCCAGTGACCAACGATTGGTTCATATACCATTTGTTCCCTCAGGGTACTGGAGCTCTTGTGCACCATTGGTTTGGAACCAGGGTTTTTCAACTCCCCTAGGTGGACTCCCTGTATTCACCAACCCGGTTAACGCGCTGGACATTCGCTTTTCGTCCTCTCAATTCCGTAAACAACACCCCCTCCATGAGAAGGCAGTGAGTAAGACTTCCCTAGCAGAGGCTACATACGCGTCGCCATGTGAGAGCATTTCGAGAGGGAGAGCAGACTCTCCCCACTATCGGCCGTACCAGGGCAACTGGGGGCTCCGAAATATTCTCACTTACACCTGGCCTCTTAATTCGTTTCTTTTATTAGTCTGAAGAGCTGTCTTGTGTTACCTACAGTCGCCGCCTTTCCCATCTCTTTTGCTTTCGTTACCCATTTAAGTAAAGGTTTTTCTGAAGGGTGATGTACGTCTTTTTAGGACAGATTGCTCCACAAAGACCTCTGGATTGACAGAGTGGGGATAAGAAACATAGTCACGGTTGGATATTGGCAAATATACTTGATGAAGAATAAATGCATGGTCTATAAATCCACAGTTAAAACATTAAATCAACATGATTTTCTTCGGTTTGGTGTTTTTGAGCTGGTTAGGTATTGTGTAGTCACGGAACTTATGAGCTTATAATGTATGTTAATCACATTGATTTTCACCGTGATTACCACACGAGTTTGTGTCCTTTTTTGATCTCAAAGGATCAGAAATCAAAACCAGTCAGATGGAATTGAATCCAACTTCCAAATTCGAAAGACATGTCATTTGATCTAACTACATATTTTGAACCAGGATTCTACAAAATATTTGGGTCTAATCCAATAGAACTTGGCAGAAAGGTGGCTATATTCTCTCCAAATTCCCTATGAGTAAGCTGTCTGAATTTATTCTTCTGTTCAGTTTGTTTGTGAATAGTGGACTACAGAAGCGTAAACGGAGGTCAATTAAAATGTTCCACTCAGTATGAGAATGGATAAGTAGTCTTACTTTCTGAGTTTCACTAACTGCTAACATCTAAGTGCAGTTCTTAGTGATAAATCTTAATCATTGTCTAATGTTGATTATTCCTGAAGCTTTATTCTATCGTTTCTAATATTTCACTCACCACTGAGATATTTAACGTAGGCCAGAAAATGGGAATCCTAATTTTATATTTGAAAACAAGAATCAATGAGAAACTCATGAAATAAAAAAGAAGCGCGTTAAGGATTACATGACTTAAGATCAGGCAGATAATAACACATGCCTAATTTATGGAAATGTAATAAGTTAATCATATTATTTTGAAAGAAAAAATGCAACTCAACTCAATAAATACATTAATGAATAGTTTAAAATACCTCTTTTTGAATAAAGTCCATAAAGTTTGTTGTATCCTCAAATCCAATTTCTCTATATTGAATAACAAAAGTAGTTTTGATTAACTCTTCAAGCCTGTGGACAGTTGATTCACGGTACACAAAGAACAATACGCAGCAAACAACCTCTGTCAGAAAAAGCAACGTTAAAATGAAGTAATACTATAACGAGACAAAGTAGTATTATTGAATAGAATTTCTTACAAATCTCAGCAGACAAGTGTTTTCACGTAAAGATCCGACAAAACCAGCCAGTGAAACAAATAAAGTTATGACCCCAACGACCATACAAATTACGGTTAGGTTGAAAAGCCAGTGCAATGCAATAGTTTTAGATTTCCATGGTATACCTTCCGACTCACTAAATGCAATCACACCGAACACAAGAAACAATGCTCCAACAGCCTGAAAGTAAAACATAGATTTAGTTCCTAAAAGTACTAAGAACTTATAAAAACATATATTTTAATAAGTAGTTATGACATAAAATCATATAGTCCGAAGTGTTAAAACTTATTACTAATCCGAAAATTCATAAAAAAGTAGGGCTAGAAGGTAACATTGCCATATGGCCTAGTAGTCTTGAGATCAGACGTTTTGTAGAGATGTCCCAAATACGGAGATACCATCTATTAGCGTTAGTTTCCAATTTGAAACTCAAAACAGAGATTTCCCATTCTCGCGGAAATATAAAAAATCGCAAAGTACGTTACAGAGGTGAGCATAAGTTTGGTAAATGTTCATCGTGTGGTATATTTCGTTGACGTAATTTATGTCTTTCATGCCAGATGCCTTAAATGTGGTAAAATGGGGCATATCTATTCGGTTTATAAAACTGTTACTCATTTAACCACTAAGAATTATGAACATTGTAGTTCGGCTTTCATTAAGTTGGGTGCTTCTAATTATTATTAATCTTTATCCACGATTTTGAAAGGTAATTGACATATTCGGAAGCGATTATATTACCTACACTGGTTCATTTCATGACTTTATTTGTTGACACAAGCAACCCAGTTAACGGCAAACGTCCCAAACCAGATATGAAGCGACTAGTTTTACTTACAAATGCACCATCGAAAAATATTACAAAACTACGTTCAGTAGTGGGTACTCGTCAATACTATTCCCGTTTTATTCCTTATTTTTCTTGTCGGGTTGATTGTTTATTTCACATCTCGGTATCCAACTCATTTAAACGAGGTGAGGAACAACAGTCATGCCTACGAAGTCTACTCAAGTTTTTTCGAAGTGATGCTGTTCTTCGAACTTACTCCCCTAGCGTACAATATGTGTTTATTACTGATGGGTAATGGTGAGGTTTGGAGCACGAAGTTACACCTGTTATCTGTGTTTCACGCAAAATTACTGTTGCTGAACAAGGTCATTCACAAACTCAGCGAGAGGCATTAGCTGTATTTTGGGCTTTTAAAAGGCTTCATATATATTTATTTGGAAAGAAATTCACTAGTGTTACAAATCATGAAGCTTTAAAGTTCATTTATCATCCTGAAAAATCCTTAGCACATTCGTCTGTTTGTTAGTGCAACCTTCACCGGTGAGACGTCCAGATCTCATTATAGAAACTCGTTGACACCCTAAATTTATACTAAGTGCCATACGGAAAGGTTGGAATGCTAATCTGCAATGTAGACGTCCTATCTATTTTTCAAAGCGCGATGAGTAATCCACTACTCCTGACGGTATTTTGTGTTTACATGATTATGTTGTTGTTCCCTCATTACGTAAATCCGTCCTTAAAGGTTTTCATAGAGGAATAGTTGGATGTTGAGAAAATGAAATCCTTGGCAAGGTTCATATGTTGGTGCCAGATATAAGTGTAGATATGTCGTAAAGCAGGCAATTGTGGTGGATGTCATAAGTCGAAAAATCATCCTTCGAAGTGAACTCCATGGTCAGTATCGTTTGAGGCCTGGTAGGGAATTCATACAGACTGTTGTGGTCCATTTCTCGGCAAATACTATGTGCTTGTTGTCACTGATTGTTTTTCTGAGTGGCCTGAATATTTTTCACGTCATCGGATTCTGGCTCCATAATCCAAGTGTTGAGAAAAGTGTCCGGTACAGATGCAGTACTTATGATATTAGTGACTGATGATTAATCTTACTGAGGACGCAATTACTGTCCCGTTGAAAGGCATACCCTGAAAATATCGGTTAACTGCTCGCAGACACTCTTGTTCTGATGTTCAAGCAGACTGTTTTATCAGAACGTTGAAAACTGCTATTAATTTCATTAATGATATAACATTTGATGAACTGGCGAGGAGAGATGTTTCTACTGCAACATAGAAACGATAAACATTCTGCAACGAGAGACTCCATCAAAGTTACTAAAAGGAGGTATTTCCCTTTGACTATGAGGTGTTTAGAGTCTGAAGAATTCACATACTATCGTGGCAATTAACTTAGACCAGCTACGGGGATTGTGACGAAAAATGTTGGAAAATCTATAGTTCAAACTCTAGATATAAATTATTTGAGTACACAGCCTAAATGTTGATCAAATACGATCACAGAAACCACGTGAGTCTGTTCCGATTTCGGTTATTAATTCTAATACTAATGAATACATCTTAGATCATATGAAGTCTGCATCTGCTACAGTCTGACAGGCACACGATGAACCTAAGAATAAGAAATACAATCAATTACAAAAATCTGGACTCCCATTTAAGCAGTGGCGGATGTGGTACGTACGAATGATTCTTTTATGCTTGATTGCTCACTGATGACGAATTCTAAATATATGTTCATTTGTGTGTATCTAGTTCTACCTGTCTTAAATTGCACTATTTCGGAATTATTAGTACATTAATAAGAATATTTCTAATTACCATAGATGCATACCTTTAAATATAGTATTACTATAATTATTATTTGGGAACAAATACTGGTACAGTGGGGCACCAGATACATATGCGCCACACAAATCTCATTCGATTTGTGTGAGGGCTGTGATACTACCCAGGTGCCCAAACCGAAGCAGGTGGTTTTCTCAGGGGACCACACCCGCAGCCTTCCACCTAAAGGTCCGATTCACAAGACAGTGGAGCATCGTAAGGAGATGCTGTCCCATGGTAGCCGGTGACCAACGATTGGTTCATATACCATTTGTTCCCTCAGGGTACTGGAGCTCTTGTGCACCATTGGTTTGGAACCAGGGTTTTTCAACTCCCCTAGGTGGACTCCCTGTATTCACCAACCCGGTTAACGCGCTGGACATTCGCTTTTCGTCCTCTCAATTCCGTAAACAACACCCCCTCCATGAGAAGGCAGTGAGTAAGACTTCCCTAGCAGAGGCTACATACGCGTCGCCATGTGAGAGCATTTCGAGAGGGAGAGCAGACTTTCCCCACTATCGGCCGTACCAGGGCATTTGGGGGCTAGGATAAAAGAAGTCATATTTAAACCCGAGCACTTTATTTCTATCAAATTTGTTGTATTGGAACATTTTATAGTACGGTACTAGCCTGAGTTTGGGATTATCATTTTTTACAAATTTACAACAATTTATCAACTTTATTACGCAGCACAGTAAAGGGGAGACGCTCTGGTAAAAAATGTTCCTCTTACTAGACAACTACAATTTCTAAGACGGTAATTATTCTCCTTTCGTATGAACTTAACCAGTAGTCTGAGTTGAAAGTGGTTTTCACAAAATGATCTAGAGACAATTACATATATGTAATTTGTACAATTTTTAGCAGTGTCCCATGATCCATTCACAATTAAGTGGCGTGATCATCGTAATTTCTATCCCACGCCTTTTTAACATATTTAAGTTAAATTTACCGGCGCATAAAATGCACTTACTAAGAAAATGAAGTTCGCCAAGCATAAAGAATACTTAACCCATTGGTTGATGTAAGATATTCTACCACCAAAACGTCGATGATACCTATGGCCCATTTAATGCCAAGAAAATGTATCAAAAACGCTAATATTTGGGAACCAGAATTGTTCAACAAGACAAGATCTGAAAATACAAAGAGAAAGTTCTCAACAGAGAATTTAGGTTTATAAACAGGAGGAAAATATGAGCGACCGGCATCAAATTCTGCAATATCTACATGTACAAGGACTTTTATTGCTTATAAAACTCATCCTAAACAACCACGAGCCTAATATGAGTATAGAGATGTTTGACGATTCAAATATCTTATGTGTACAAGAGGAATGAAGGGTTCCCATAGGTTATGTCTTATGGCATTCCTTGCCTACCAGTACTGTACACACAACTGGCACGTTTTACCTCCGTGTTCATCTGACGATGATATGTCATTCTAAAACACCACTTTCCATAGACATACTATTCATTTTACTTTTCCACTAAAGTGGATGATGTACATCATCAGACGTAATAAACCAAGCGTTTAAGACCGTTAACTACAGTACAACTCGCAACATATTTCGTTTATATTAAATAAGCCAACTTCATTACTTTTTAAGACGGCTGTAAATTACCGGTGAAACAATGCTTCCAAGAGTCAGGTAAACAACACACAGCCTTGAGACATTAAAGATTCCTCTCTAGTTTCCGATGTTATCAATGAACAATATCTTTGTTATGAACTAGTTTCAATTTCAATTAGGAAAAAATGAAGCTTGGGTTGCCTGTGTTAGTCCTTGTGACAGTGGTCTCTTAGTCTATCCAACTTTTTTAACTTAGTCAATAGATGGAGCTTCGGTCAGGTGTTGAGATAAGGATTTTCACTAATTGATTATTCGATCAGGTCGATAATACGCCGAGAAGTGGTTTGTTCTGCTCTCGTGGATTTTTTTAGTGTCCTCACAAATTGTCTGTCTTGGAAGACAGGGGGACTGAGGTCTTGTTATTTGGAAATTTATCATTCAGTAATTTAAATACTGCGATCAAGTCACCACTAGTCTTTCTATTTGGTAAGGAAAATAAGTTTAATTTAGCCAGTTTCTCTCCATACAGAAGGTATGCAATTCCAAAAATTACTTAGGTTGCGGTCGCTCGAACCTTCCCTCGCAGCTCATTTTTTTAACCACGCCTTGACTGTGTATACAAAACTCGAGTTTACGACTCACGAACACTGCGTGCAAAATTAAAAACGTTTGAGTATCAACGTGGCTAAAAGCTTCATATATTGATCACAGGGTTCTCAAACCTTCGGCAGTCATTGTGCGAAATTCTGTAGCAGTTTTAACATATTGACTAACGATGCCTCTCAGGTCATTGTGTCTAGACAACAGGTAGATCGTTGTTATTCGATTTGTATATTTCTGTACCTTGGAAGCTCATATGTATTACAATGCACCTGGAGCATTTATCGGCAACTAGCAGACCTTAGACCATTCAGGTAATTTATGAAGATCATTTTAAAGCTGCAAACTATCATCTTCGCTTTTTTATTGTCATCCATATCTTCATCATACGACAAAACCAGTGGTATGAGACTGAGACGGTCATTAACATACGGGATGAGTTGTACTGTCCCCAAAGATGTACACTGAAGCACTCGACTGAGCACCGTTTATCTAGACAACTCATAGCAAAGCCGTACTCTTTGTTGATGCCTAACTACAAAACTTTTTGTCCATAAAGTAAAGTAGCAACAAATAAATCCCCAAATTTTAAGCATAGCATGTCTTCTAGAAATTGCAGGAAATCTTGTGGTTTCCCAATCTTCGAATCGTCCGACTCTAGTAACGTCCCAGGAAACGTCTCAAACGACACGCATTGATGACAACCGTAGTCGGCGGACATAATGGCCAGTTGTACATCACTGGTGAGATGACGAAGTTTGCTACTCAATCGACACGGGCGCGGAAGTTGTAGCCTCCACGGAACATTCTAACGACCGTCTGCATGAACCGGTCTCCAACTCACAGGCAGACAATGGAAGACAGATCAGCATATACGGTAAGCGATATGTGTATCTTAACGTGGGTTTACGTAAACTCATCCACTGGGTCTTAGCTGTTGCAAATGTTTTGTGCCAGTCATCGGCATAGACCTACTACAACACCATAACCTACTCATCAACACGCACAAATGGGGGTTAGTAGAATAAAACACAAATTTATCTGTTTGTGTAACTTCTTTTTACGGTTGTAGATTTTCCTCAGTCGTAGTACGGCACACGATCGATCCATGCTAACAATATATACTCTATAAGTACCTCAATCCATTCCAAACGCGACCAACGTCACCATATGTAACCAGCAACCAATGTGCAACACATCACATCATGAATAGAAGACCACCTGTATTCTCGAAAGCGCGTCAACCAGCTCTAGAAAATTTGAGGTTGGCTAAAGACGAATTCGACCAAAAGATAGGCTTCGGAATCATCCGGCCATTGAACAGTCCATGAATATTCTCCTTGCACATGATTCCTATAGAGAACAGCATCGATTGGCATCCAACTAGTAACTTTCGGTGACTGAATACGAAAACTGCTCCAGGTCGTTACCCGTAGCCACACACTCACCGTTTGACAGGTACCTTGAAGGTAAAGCTATTTTCTTGAGAATCAATCTGGTTATATCATATATCCAAACTCCAATGGCTGCAGACGACATTCCTAAAACTGTTATCCTCACATCCGTCGGACTCTACAAATTTTCGCGCATGCCTTTCAGTTAAGAAATATTGTGAAACTTTCCAGGAATTCATTGAAAACGTCTTTTGAGGTCTCAGGTTCGTACACGCGTATGTTGATGACTGTTTGATTGCAAGTCCGGACAGAGAATCTCCCTTGTTTACGAACGACTCCAAAAAGGCGGCAATATTGTAAACATTCACAAATTTCAAATTGGAGCCGAGTCCCTAGATTTTCTCGGCCACACTAGTGATGCTCAAGACACCCGACATGTAAAAAGCAAAGAGGCGGTCATTCTGGATTATTTGGAAACCACCACAGTCAAGCAACTATGCATGTTTAACGGCCTAGTTAGTTTACATCGACGGTTCACACTAAGAATAACACGTCTCTCATGGGACCCTCAACTGACCGACTTCGTGGAAATGTGGAACTCATCAATTTGGATGACATCGCGAATAAGGCGTTCTACACTTCAAGGAAATTACCGTAAAAGCAGCTGTACTCGCACACCAGGATGTCAACGCACCCTCCAGTTTCGCAGTAGATGCATCCGAATCATCAAATGGGGGAGTCTTACAACAGTAGGTGAACAACAGCTGGCAACCTTCGGAATTCTTCTCTAGACGATTACTAGACACTGAGCCGAGGCACAGCACTTCGGGTTGGGGACCTCTAGCCATGTGTTGTGCTGCACAGTATATTCAACACCCCATTGAAGACCGAGAATTCACTCTGTTTACCGACCACAAACCTTCCACTTTCTCTCCTAGCTAATCTTCGGATAAGTTCTCACATCGTAAGTCTCGACAGCTGGACTACATTTCACAATTCATTCCAGTCAAACAACACGTTTCTGAGGCAAATGATGCAGTGACAGACGCCTTGTCATGTGTAGCCTACTTGAATATTTTTCAAGAGATCGACCTACTTAAACTCACCCAGCCTGAGAAGTAAGGCTCCGATCTTCAACACGAGTCATCTTCGACAACCGTAAAACTGCGTATTAAATATATGAGAACAGGTGGGAAAATGAGGGAGGGGTATGCTCCTGTGTAAGCTGCCATAAATCTAAGGTGGTTAGATACGTTAAATATCCCTTAAGTTTTTTTGAAACTCCCGATGCTTGTTTCGACCATGTTCATCTTGATCCGGCAGGACCTTTACCAAATTCGAATGGATGATCTTACCTCTTGACGTGTATGGATCACTGCACACGATGGCTGGAAGCAGTACTCCTCAAGGACATTGCTTCTGGAACAGTGGCCAGCACCCTCATCGAACGATGGGGGAGAAACTTCGACTGCCATTCAACTATTATTACAGACTTTGGACTCCTGTTCGAACTAGACTTTTCCGTTGTCTTATCACATTACTAGGAATCACATGATTCCGAATAACTGCCTTTCACCCACAGACAAACAGGTTGGTAGAACGATTTCCCTGATAGTTAAAAGTCTCAATTTCCAATGTAATTGTTTCAAAGTGAACAGACGCTCTCCCAGTCATGTTACTCAGTTTCCGCAATTCAATAAATGCTGACATTGAATACACTGCAGCACAACTAATTTTCGGAATGACACTTTGACTTTCCAGAGAATTCATGGGTTCTTCATCTTCTCCGATGGATATGGATTTAAACTCTTACACGAACAGGCTTACAAACATGATGCGTTCTGTTAAACTTGCCACTCACCTCAGTCAATCGATATCTTAGTTGGAGCTGCCCTACGATATAGTGCACACATTTTCATACTTCGCGACTCATTCCGATGACTTTTTGAAATGGCATACGAAGGACCCTTACAATTTCTTCAGACTGAACTTAAGTACTGTATCATCGATAAAAAAGTAATCAACTATGGCTTCAGCATCGGTCGTCTGAAGGCCGCTTATTTAGAAGGAAACTTTTATCATGTCAGGTTTCGTCCAATTACGATGCCTTCTCCGTGAACCGAAATTCACGACGAAACTTCTCTTGTATCTGACGAACTGCCTAAAACAAAATGATCTGGAAGAAGTGGTATGTTTCTGGAACAATTAAATTATTACTGCGCGTGGGATACTACATGACATCTTGTTTTACCTCGGCCGTTTGCATTATTGTGTCAAAAAACCGAAAACAAGCTTTAGTTTTTCATATAATAATAATTTATCCTCAAATAACAGTCTGTTACATGGGGCATGCCAGTTTACAAGCAGGATCATATTGTTAGGGAAGATACAGTCTTCACTGTGGTATGTTACTCAGTTTGATATTTTATAAGGTACATTGATCGTAAAAGTATGGGAGACAATACTCTCCACGTAGGAATGCAAACAATATTAATAAGACCCATATTGTTAATACGATAGTTGGCTCGTTTTACCGAGGTCACTTTACGACATGCAATTGATAGTCGGTGGTAAATCTGAGAGAGAGCTTCTATAAACCGTGACATTATATCCCTCTGAAATATCTGAGGATCAGATGGCTCAGGACGAACTTACCCAGTCCGTATGCGTTGTCGGTGGCATATCGTGATAGGGCTGAAAAAGGAAGTAAGAAAAAGAAAGGACGAGAAGCAAAGCAGACAATGTTTATGCATATCGAGTCATTTGTGGTGAAATAGTGAAGGTATGACTACCTAGTTTAATTTTCCATTATTAAGATTCTTTTCAAACAAGAGTATTCTAGTAGGTTGAAGAAAACTGGCGTAAATATGGTATGAATAAACAAAGAACTGTATACAAGGAGGTGGTTCAAAAAGAAGCTGAAAACATAGGGTTATGTGTAATTGTAAAATACAGTGTTGGTAACAGTATTCTAATAAACTAGTGGTTATCTCGCTTTTTCGTCGGATCTGTTTTAGCCCATTTTTATTTTTATTGATTTTATAGGGTCATGAGCAGGCTTCGTTTCTAGCGAATTGTCTAGTTTTGCTTGTAATAGGATTACTCAGTAGGAAGCAAAACCAATTCAACGCCACAAACACGATTTAAG